CTCGTATTTATGCACCAATTCAACAAAAATGTACAACACTGAAGTATCTAACAAACTAATTCATTCTCTGAATAACTCACACTTTGACTCACTAAGTGATTGATTAACCAACTCGTGTTTTTTACTACAAAATATTTGCTCTTCTCAAAACCTCATAAAAATTCGAGACATCATGTCAAATATACACACTCAAGATACTCCTAGACACACCTCATCATTATGCCATGCCGAAACTCTCTTTAACAAACAGCATAAAAATCTAAATTAAGACATTAAAACCACAGCCTACAACAATACCATACATATATGCTATTTGAAATGTCTTTTAGTCACACTCCAACACTATATGAAGGCTAGTGTTATTCGTTCAATTTTTCCGTGTCCAAGATAACCGTTTAGAAATGAATTCGTTTAACTTTCTTAGTTAAACCATCAAGACTTTTACTGTTTATGAAAATAACATTAATATTTAATTAACTAATCAACAGGTGTGTTGATGTATAATGATTCAATATGAAAACTAACACTAAAAATCGATTGTTAAAGATTTATTTCTCATGGAATAATTCAGAAAAGAAAACCAGCTAGTTTATGGGTATGTGTATCACTATTAGAGACATTATGTCCGATCCACCACTTTAAACCTGAATTGATCATCATTTATCCATTACTTGCTCTTTAGAAAAGTATAAATTTATCTGTTTGTTTGGTGAACTTAAAATATCTACTTAATCACAAGTTATTACATACATCAGAAAGTAATTCTTATTGACGCTGAATTAATGTCTCAGATTCTTGTATTCAAGTATCGACACACGTAACCATCTTGTTGTTTAACTTACACCAATTCAAGTCTTATTAAGCCAGATAAAGAATATTTCAATTTTAGCTTCTAATGAAAGTAACATTTGTAAGAAACTTACCAAATACAGTACCAAAGAAATTGAGTTTCTGTTGCTTAAGTTTTTTAAATTATGGAAGACCTGTTCTTCAAATAGATGTGCCAATGATATAGATTGGTGTGTTAAAGTTTCCTTCGTTTTAGAGACGCAAAGTGGTTTCTCTGGTAACATGACGTCAGTGAGTGTTGCCCTGTAACAACCTGATCAACAATCTAGTTCGTTGTGAAGTAACCGAATCATACAATTGCTACAAAGTTCTAGCTTTTTGAAAACTATACATGAATGCTTTTTAAACGAACGAAAGTGCCAAACGTTTTAACAGTACTTTATGGTGATTAAATCTTTCTACAATAAACAATTTGAGAACAAAGCTGGCTGCCATGACATTCTTTCAACAAAGCTTTCCATGAACTAGGAAGATTTGTCTGTTTGTTTTAAGCACAAATCTACACAATGGGCTGTTTGTGCTATGCCCACCACAAGTATCGAACCCTGAATTTTAACGTTATTAGCCATCAAGCTTACGCCTAAACCTCTAGGGGGACTTAAAAATATTAAAACCTTGCAAAAGGCATGCGGTGCCCCATTCCAAAATTAAATCTATCCATTGTAGATTTCCTGTAGAGGAATATAAGTATTTTGTTCCTCTTTTTGCAGCAATACTTCATTGAAGAAAAACAATAATAGATTTTGTTCATTCCTCTGTCAAGAAGTGACCATGAAAGCTTCAGAGTTATGTCAACCGCAATAAAAAACAAATACAATTGCGCATCAACATCAGGTGGGCTTTAAACGTCTGCGAATTTTTAGGAGATAGAAATCACTAATAAAATGTTTTACAAATTTCTTGAAAGTACAGTTACGAACGGTTATATATATAGATTAAACGCCTAGTGGCACTTCAAGCTGTTCTGTTAAAAATCATACATTTTACTTTTTTCAAACATTTACTGCACGAAAAATCCTATTTCAAGTATTTGAAAGTTGCCATATGAATTGACACATTTTTGACAGTCCATTAATCTACAATGCTATTTTTATGTAAAAAAAAAATCTAAATATTTATATAGCTTAAAGAAGCAACATTTATAATAGGCTTCCAACTGATTCTCTTTGACCTGCTGGAAGTTCGTGATAATGTGATGTTTCATGGTTATCTGAAACTTTAGTGTATGAATTACATACACCGTTCTGTGGAAGCATTTCCATGTTGTTTTAAGGTATCTAAAAATCGAGGGTAATCTGTTTTCTTCTATCAAAGTAAAGTATATCCTTGCTTTGAGTGGCATAATTAGGCATGAAAAACATACAATTAAAATCATATTTGGTTTTAGCTATGCCGATTACCATAGATTATTTTCCAAAACAGAGAAGAATGTATCCAGACATTTAAACAAAATGCGCAAATTCATATTTGTGTTTTATTTAAAACCTGAAGAATAGAATATGTATATCATTTTATAATACGTATGTCTGCATCAAAAGTTAAAGTTTCGAATGCTATTTTCCAAACGTTCTTTGTTTTTTACTTGCATACTTATATGTAGCTTTAGAGCTTAACGAATTTATCAAACGGTTAAACTTTTAATTTCATGAACTAAAAACGAACATTTGAGTATGTTTTTATTTGCGAATTAGAGTATAACCTATGCTCGTCTGTCATATTGTTATAAGCGAGTTAATTTCCTTATTTACGTTTACACCGAGTATTTATGTGAATAACGTTGCAGCCCGTGGCTTGATATTTATTTTTTGTGCTGAGTGACTCATTGTACTTTCAAATACACAGTTCTATTTGTGCTTACATAAACTGTTAAAAAATTACCTTGAAATTTCGGATCTTTATCTGTACTTCCAAGCCAACATCGTAGAACAGCAGCGTTAGATAGAAACCAACTAACTACGATTACGTGCAGTCAACAATCACTGCAAATGGAGTAAAGTCAGTAAATCCACATAGAGAAAAATATCTGGGCGTTCGTTAAGCGTTGCTAAGTAGATCACGTTGTCATGGCAAATATTGTTTGTTAGCATAGGAATTTCTGCAACACGACGTCAGTAAGAGCCTACACCTACCAGTGAGGTATGATTGTTTTTTCTCAAATGATATAACAGCAAGAATCAGTAATCCTTGTACTAGTCATTAATTTAAAAAATTAAGCAGTGTTTACCGATATACCAGATATTATATACCAATGTGACTGTCATTTTAATAGTAACAGACATCCGTAGTGAAATGTATGTTTTGTCATGAAAATAAAATGGTTTTGTTTGTAGTTTTCTAGTATATGGAATATCAAGACAATGTTTTGTTAAAACGGTATTCACGAAAACCATGAACTGCTTCTTACCTTAAAAGAAATGTTATCATTCTTATTGTATTTCAGTATTCACGAAAACCATGAAATATTTCTTACCTTAAAAAAAATGTTATCATACTTATTGTGTTTCAGTATTTCAGTATTCACGAAAACCACGAACTACTTTTTGCGTTAAAAGAAATGTTATCATTCTTATTGTGCTTCAGTATTCACGAAAACCATGAAATATTTCTTACCCAAAAAGAAGTATTTCCGTAACTGATAGAATCATCTACAATTACGGAAAAGTAACAATAATATCCTACAATCTGAAAGTCCCCAAAGTGTCGAAGAAATACGAGAGGCACCATGGTCTATTTCTTGAGAAGATGGCTTATCACGATGTGAAATTCTGATTAAAGAATAGGAGATTCGAAGATTTGATTGACAATAGTGAATACTGAAGGAATTTGTGTGTAAAGAATGAATATAAGCAATAATGAAATTATCAACTATTAATGATATTATTAAAAAATGGAGCACAATAAAATACAGTAGGTGTGATGCTGGCATTTAATAAAAAGAAAATTAATAAATCTAGATTGATAATAACTGGTGTGTAAGTGGATTAATCAGATAAAAAATAAATTGAACTAAACTAAATCCAGGTGAAGATTAAGACAAAAGAGACTATGTTGAGTGGCAGTAAAGTGAAATAACGTATTGAAGAAAATGTTAAATAGTTCGGTGCCTAAACAGTAAAAAATGGACAAATCGTTACAGGTCGGAAAAAAATGCTAATTTTTTATGATTGCCTAGCAACATGGGATAAAAAAATCCTAAGAACCAAAACAAGTGACCATCAAAAGGTCTCAAAAAATACAAAGAACCGGAAAATAATAAAAAATTAATTTATTGCAATTTTTTATTTGAAATAAATATATATATGTATATATATTATAATGTCAAAAAAAGTTGTTAAGCTTAAGATATAAGTAAAAAAAAATGACATTAAATATGTTTCCCCAGTTTCATTTATTGTATAAGCCTCGATTTTTTTTCAAAATGGCGGTAAACTGTAATATGATATTGTTGCGTATCTGGTCATTTGTTAATTTCCGGTATAAATTCTTTCCGAGAAACCTCAGCGAT